GACTCCAGAGAATGTGAGGCTGACCCGCCCCAGATTTCCTTGTAATCTTTGCTTTTCCCAAAACATTTTGGGTGTTTATTCTTGAGTCCAGCCCCGTTCTACCAACAAAAGAAGACTGGGTTTCTTCTATGTTAATAGGTTGTCCTTTCCTCCGTCTTCATGTAAGCACTGTTTTGTCAGAGAACTAGAACCAGAAATTGTTTCAATCTATGTAACATTTACAGAATAGCTATCTCCGTCTCAGAACTTTCTTGGGGTTTGAGGAGGAGCGGAACATTGGCTGCATGCACGGTGTATGTGTGGGGAGCTAGCAGTTTATGTTCATTCACTTGTTTTGTTTTGTTTTGTTTGGTAATAAGTTGGAAAATTGTCACAGAAAATGTTGATTTGGTTTAGCTCTCAACAGTCCTGTTCTGAGTTCCGAGGAAACTTGCTTTCATCAGAGCTACCGATTCTTTCTTCTGGGTAAGAGACACTTTGGAACGATTCCTTCTCTTTTTTTAACATCTCTTTTAGGCGTCTTCTCAGAAAGTGGATTCTCTCATATAGCAATATGTGCTTTCTTACATATCTCCTCCATCATGTCTGGAGTTATGTTGTTCGTTATATATTGAAAGAATTGTTTCTTGTAAGCATTTTCATCTTCTTCCATTAGGTAGTGCATATGATCGGCTATGTTCTGACCCAGAATGTGTTTCCGATGGACTTCGCATTGAATTCCTTACCTCGAGAATTGCTTGGTACTATGAAAGACAAGTCTCCATCCATAGTTCCCTTCAAAGCCCAAAGTTCTGTTTCCAGAGGTAGTTCTGGCCACACCTGCATCCAAATAGCATCCAAATAGCAGGTGAAGACATCAGTGCCTTCCTTCCACATTACATTCATCTCCAGTTAACTCCATTGGGCCTTCAGAGAACTTGTTCATGTCACACCTATGGAGAATCCTGTGGCCCAGCAGCCTGCTAGTACAATATGCTGCAGTATAATTTTTCAGGCCGACTTTCACCCCACACTTTGCGAGTCTGTGTACATAAGCTGCGTAGACAATCATGTCCCCTTCTGTATGAGCATAAGCAATCTGGCAAATGATACCTCTGTTGGTTAGACGAACTATCACCCTGTATTTGGGTGTGTTGTGCTGATATTTATCTGGGATTACCAAGCATTTTCAAGCATAGTAATCAGTTTGACCCTCTCATCTTCTAAATTACACTTGGTGTCTCTTTCAGTAGGCCTTGTTCTTGACAACGCTAGCAAACCCCGTCCTGCGGACCAGAGACTGGCGTCTGTGGCTCTCCGCAGACTTTCACACCAGGACCTCTACGAGGCAGAGGGGCTGGGGAGCTGTTTGTTCACTTTTCTCCTTATTTTCTTTTTCCTGTGAATTAAGTGGAATATTAGAGAGCAGATCGACTGTTTTACATTCATGAAATCATTTACTACGTTTCATTTCAGTGATTGCAATTCCCTCAATGGAAATCACTTATCCACTTCTCCCTGTGGCTCTTGCATCCTTTCCTCCTTTCTGAAATGTGTCCTTAGGTAAAAACTGCCCTTTGGATCTTGGCTGGTTGACCATTCTCTAGTGTGTGTACCTCACTAGTGTTGTTGTCCCTGCTCTAAACCTATTTACTGCTTGGCTGAAAAGTGAACCACGAGGGTGAGTTCAGTTCCAGACCGGAAGGGTGACCAAGGACCATAGTCTCGGGTTCCTCTAGTCTCTGTCTGACCAGTGAGCCAGAACTTTGTTGTGATTTTGAGTTTTGTTCCACATTGTCTTCTTTCTTCTCTTCACACAGGGAGAGACTAATGGTTGCTTCGTTATTCACTTTTATTAGAGAAGTTCAGAAGCTGCTGGAAAGCGTTAACCAACTGAGCAGGCAGCCACCTGCCTGGACAGTTCATTGAGACTAAAAGAACTTATGTGTTTAGAGCAACCTGTGGACTCTCATGAAAAGAGGGCCCACAAAACGAAATCTGCTCAGTGAGAAGGAAATGACTCAAGTCTAATAGAATTAGCAGGAGGTGGTTTCCAAATGTGCCTTCTTACCCCTGGCTTTGTAATCCTCTGACCACCGACAACTCTCTGAGATAATTCAGGGAATAGGAGATAAGAGTTAAGACTTCTCGGATCCTAACTTTGTGATTATATTTTGGAGTGTCGTAAACACACAGATCTTAATGATTTTAATTAAATTCTGCCCACAATGATAGATCCCAAAGGGCTTATGGGATGGAGAAAGGCATTTTCGTATACAGTTAAGCAAACCTTTTTGCAAACCCAATAAATACCGGATACATTTAAATAAAATTATTTCCCAGTGTAAGACACCAAAACGATGTGGGAATCAGGAGTTCCACAGAAAACAATAAAATCATTCTTAAGTCAAAGTTCACGTTCTCATTTCCCCAGTAGGTGAAAGCTCATTTTTCTTTAATGTTCTAAAGGTGAACATAGAAATAAAAACAGAAGGTCGTCCACTGGGCATAGTGAAGAGGCTCTGTTCTTGCATGTCCACATGGGCGTCATTCAGGTTGGCCCACCTAAATTGGGAACTCTTTAACACCCTTTATGCCAAAAGTGTGATCCATAATTCTTCTGTTCTAATTCACTTATTTGAGCTGGAAGGACAGATGCTGTAAGACTCTGTGAATGTAAGGTGAGTGCTTCAGGATGGTACCTGGAAGTGCTCACCCTGAGCAGCCACTGTGCTAACTCCCATGCATCCACTCCTGTAGTCTTCAGAGCAACTCTTTGAACTAGAGTTAATTTGATTCCCATGTTAGATATGCTGAGAATAAGGGTGGAGGCCTCATCGTCTCCACATACCAGCTTAGAGTCAGGGTGTCCACCTGATGCTCAGGCTTCTAAAGATTGGCTTGTCCATTCTGTAATCTGGAAGCTATAGTTCATGGACCATTTTATACATGTCACCACATTGCCACTGAATTGTGCAATTGAATGCTTCAAATCCCTTAATTCAAATCCTACTGTCAAAGATGTCAATAAATGATGGTAACTAACCTGAATTTTTTTTTTTAAAGTTTGTATTGTGAATTGAATGATGGTTTACATGGGAGAACATCGGTTTTACACTCATTGTTTCATTGCAATGATTACAGTCCCCTCCATGCATCATCATTCAACAGTATTTGCTTCTATTCCTCTGTTATTTTTTTTTTCAGGGGATGTACACAAAAACACTCATGAATATATAATCATTTACACAACCAAAAGGCATGTTCTGCAAGTCTGCCTCTTGGTCACCAGCACCTGGCTGCCAGCACACAGCCTTTCTCTTTCCATGAGTCTAGAGTCCTCAGCTGCTCTATCTCTCCATGTCTTCATCTCTGTCTCCATCTCTGGTGTCGCTGCTTCTCTGGATAGGGTCCCACATTCCAGTTGTGCTCTTTTACCTTGATGGCCCTAGGGTCCTCTGTTCCTGGACTGTAAGATTAACTACTCCCCCCTTTTTGTTACAAAACTTCTACCTTTACAGTTGTGACAGTTGCACTTAGTCATGATATCATTTACTCACTATTGAATCTTAAGAATCTTATCCTCATCTCGTTTCACCAGACCCATCTAGACAAGATGAAAACTATTCAGTGGGGACTCTACCTTCCCTCGTACACTCTTAAACTAAACTCCCTCCGGAAAACTTGTTAGCCCGTTGCTTGTGCTTTTATAGCCCCCTCATTTTATGTAGCCAATGTCTAAGTTGCCCATCCCTATCAACCCTGTATATAGAGGGGATAGGATTGATCCTTCTGTGAAGACTCCTTCCCTCTCAGTTGGTGTTTTGAGCTACTACATCTAGAAGAACAGGTCATGTTCATCAAATTGTAGCAATTTATACTTGTTTCCTTTATTTAAAAAAAAAATGTTTTTAATCTTCCTGTAGTCGAGTTCTAATCATCCAGCCATTGAAGCTAGGTTGAATGGGTACTACCTACAAACTTGACTAACCTGGATTTTTTAATTTGAAATTTAAGGGTGATTCAAATCAGTAGAGCTGTCACTTGCTCTAATATTGCTAAGAAGCGTTATGTCTCCTTTAAGTCAATGGAGTAGAAAGGCATTATGGTTTTGGGGAAACTAAATGTAAGTTTTCCAAATAGGTTTTTTCTTATTGCTGAGAATTATATATCGGAAAATGGGCCTTTTGTAATTGCCAAGACTCACACCCTGTATCATGTAGATCACCTGTCCGTCCCCACTTCATTTAGTAGATGAAGAAACCAGAGGGAAAGCCCTTTACCTCAGATCACACAACTCAGAGGTGAGTTAAACCTGAGAGATTGTCCACTGTGATGAATCTCCAACCTTCATCTCATTTCTGTAAGTGTAATCATGAGCGATCGACATAGCTTTAGGGAGTTTCAGAGCAATGAGATCATTTCTTTAAAGTTTTTTTTTTTGTTTGTTTGTTTGAGATAATATAATTTAATTTCTGCCCAAGTAGCTCTAGCCCATTGGAAAAGTGGTATTATGTAAGTCTAGCATAAAATATAGATTATTTCCTTTATTTGTGGAAATATTTAATCTTCTTAATCTGAAAGGCTGATAGAGAATCCATTTATTTACAAAATAGAAAGCAAACGACTCAAGTGACCTAGATGTCAGGGTGAGATTCAGATTCTCCAGAGAACTGACTTGACCGGAACTGACCCTTACTTGAAGCAGATGAACTCGATTGATGTTGGTGTGAACCCGACTCCAAACAGGGGATCAACAAATAAAACCAACCAGTTCCTGAGGAGGTAATTCCAGCTCATGGTAATTCCGTGTGTGTCATAGTAGAACTGTGCTCCATAGAGTTCTCAGTGTCTGATTTCTCAGTGGTACATTGCCAGACCTGTCTCATGAGATGGCTCTGGGTGGACTCGAACCTCCAACCTTCCAGCACATCAACCAGGGACCAGTAAACATAAGGAAGACTTTAATAGGGGCTTTTCTCTGCATGCTATACTTTCAACCTCAAAAATTCAGTGGTTGAATGGCGGCAGAGGTGTGACAGGATTTGGCCCAGCTCATGAATTCAAGGGACTCGCCTAAAGATCTGGCGGGCAAATCTCGTCGGATCCTGGGAAAAGCTATTCAGCTGTCTGGGACAGAGCAACCTGAAGCTTTGACAGCCTTTGTGGAAACAATGGTAAACGAGAATATCAGCCTCGTGATCAACAGTCAGGACAGTTGCTGACTGACTTCTGCACACATCTCCCTAACCTGTCTGACAGCACAGCCTAGAGTAACTTCATTTAAAGAGCAGGTTGCTTTAATAAGACAGCATCTTTCATCCATGTATGAGAAAGAAGAAGACTGGCGAAATGCAGCTCAAGAGTTGGTGGGAATTCCTTTGGAAATCTTTCTGGAGGCTGATGATCCAGTACAGGCAGAAGCTTACATAAATCAAGCATCATTGCTTCAGAATGAATCAACCAATGAACAGTTACAGATACATTAGAAGGTATGCTATGCTCGTGTTCTTAATTATAGAAGAAAATTCATTGAAGCTGCACAAAGATACAACGAGCTTTCTTACAAGACAATAGTTCACGAAAGTGAAAGACTTGAGGCCTTAAAACATGCTTAGCACTGTACCATCTTAGCATCAGCAGGATGGCAGCAAGTGTTCTTGAATGCTTGCTACTCTTTCAAATACCTTCTTTAGACAGCATAACAGACGACTATACACATGGACCTCGCCAGATGGAACACATAGAA